ATATATATATATATATATATATATATATATCATTGAAGAAAGACTCACATAAAAAGATTAATCATTTTATTATATGATGACATATAATTATCACTCATTAACTAAAACATTTATAATTAGCTCCCAAATTGAAACATATCTCTGCACACTCTCCATTTTGCGTGCAAGAGTCGCCCATATCATAATCATTTTGTAATATCAATGCCAGACATTGTAGGATGCCTAAAAATATATTTAATGGCCTCAATATTCACTTGCTTGTTGAATGGAGATGTAGACATATCTCAAAGAATAACATTTTCTTTTTCTAAACACTAAATTTTTTTTCAATAACACCCCGTAAAGAAAAATGTCACTTATAAAATATTTATTTTCTCCCTCAAACTGCATGGCTAGCCCTATCAAAATCTGAGAGGTAATATGTTGTTTCAAGATATGGCTCAAGAAGCCCGTGTTATAAAGGATAATCAACATCAACTGGGTAATATTTTCCTACATAGAAATAATTTGGAAATACTCGTTAGAAAATAAGCTATAAAATTTGTTAGCTTAAAATTTCTATTCTTGAGGCTGCATAAAGAAAGTTATAATGGTTATTTCACACAAAATAATTGAAGATCTGACTATTATGTGCACTGTTTTCTCATTCAGTCATTACAAAAAAGAAACACAAATTGAAATCATATGCATCCATAATATTTTGTGTTGTTAAACCAGAACACCCAATGTACAAAATATTTTCACTTTGAGATACACATGCATCAATATATGCGTTATGTTAATAGCACCAATATAATGAGTATAATTAAAATATATTTTAAAAAATGAAAACTAAAATCTATCTCTAAATATAGCATGTATCAGGGATTAATCAACATCTCTTTGGGTGTGTTCTGAAATATGGAGTCCCTAAGTGACATAATTATGGAAGATAGACAAAACCAAGCATTCAAACCAACTGAAAATATCTATTAATTATTTATGAGTGTCAGAATTGCTTCATAACATATCTAATTGACTTAGAGGGTTAAAGCTAACACATCTCTTGAATTCATTCTTGATATTCCATGGAGACCATGCTTTTGATGTAGTTTCTTCAATAGATCTAGAAAACTTGTTGTTGCATACAAAATAAGTTGTGAAACCTGGTTGGGTGACCCGAAAGTAATTCTCTAATTCATTTGTCCTAGAAATGTAATGATGTCTGTAAGGAGTAAGCACAATATGTGAATTAAATTATTCATATATCAATCCTAAAGCAATTGTAATAATTCTTCTCTGACATTTTCTTTCATTGTTATTCGTCATTTATTTAAAAAAAAATGATGAAGCGTTAGAATGAAGAAATCACATCAAAAAGAAATGTCTCGAAATATAAATATGAAAATATGTTTGTTTAGATAATATATCAAATAAGATTGCTGAAATGATGACAAAAAAATATTACACTTATACATCACAATTGCTATAAAAGAAACATATGTAATCAACTTTAAGCTCAGTGCCATTGAGATAAAAAAAAAAAAAAAAAAAAAAATCTCTTATCGTTGTTGGATCTTTCAAAAATTTCATGGAATAATAATGCAAATATATCTCTTCATAAATTTCTGAAGTTTCTTCTAATATTTTTATAACATTTGGAATAAATGATGGTGGTGCAAGTGACCCAATAGGCTAAGAGGGAATACTACTACATGCATAAATAAGCTGAGAAATCTGATTTCGTAAGAAAGCAGTGTCATCTTTATTCTTTCTTCCACCACTAGGCCATAAAGATGACTACAATTTTGAATGGCTAGATTCAACACATTTGGTGACAGTATGAATGGATCATTCACTTGAGTCGGCTTTATGCTCAAAATCTGCTGGTTCAGATAGATTAATGCTCGGTTTTTAACTTGGGGTCCATGCATGGTCATTAGAGGCAACAACTCCACCGAACTTTAATCTAGCTTTTTTTCTAATTTCGGGTCAATGCCACTAAATTTAATTTTGTTCCATGTTTGACATAACCTACAAGTGATGCACATTAATAAATGTTGATATATTGAATGGTTAACAAAATTATGTGGAATACTTATCCGCAAACACAATTTCACTTCTAATCTTTCCTTCTACCATTGTTCAGATGCATCAATAGTCCAAACATTTAATCTAGCTTCTATTCTAGTTCTGGGTCAGTGCCACAAATTATTATTATTATTTTAATGTTTGACCTGACCTACAATTGATGCAAAAAATAAGAAATGTTAATATATAGAAAGGTTTAACATAATTATGTGGAATAGTTTAATCGAAAAAAACATGATTTCATCTCTAGTCTTTCCTTCTACCATTATTCAGATGCATCAATAGTTCAATTTGTGTGATCCCAATCATCTAAATGTTTTCTATTTTCTGGTAATTCGAGCCATGTTTGACTTGAAAGGCCCTCTCTAAACAAAAATGATGTTCCATATGCATCTGCATTGTCCTTTCTACAATCCAGAATAATCTAAAGGATAATTTCTCACGAGTAAGCCAATTTTAGAGAGGTAAGCGATCAAATTTGCCTGAAGGAAAACTATTGACGCCAACACCCCATAAAAAATAAGCATAGAGAGATTGAAACATGAAAACAAAAAGAGAACAAATCCCCTCATACTACTCAAACCATGAAGACAAAGAGTTCGAAGAAATCCCCAGTGCAAATCCCAACAGAAATAAATCTTCTCATATACTACTCAGATCATGAATCATAAAGACACAAAGATAATCCTCATAGAAGAAACACTGACTTAAGAGAGACGAAATCCCACACAAAATAACAAAAAAGAATCTAGGGCAGAGAGATCCAAACCCTTAAATACACATTTGTAGAAGTGAGGCGGCAAACACATTCTAAAAGAGCTGAAATTGTCACTATCAACTAAAAAATTAGTAGAAACAAACTCCAAAATTTAAATATATATGGCGAAAGCCGGGCTTCGGATTGCGCCCCGCTTGTCCTTTCCTCCCAGCTCACCCCTCTGGAATATTGCGGAGTCTGAAGTATAGTTGTGTAAAGGAACTGAAATTGCACGACACAGGGCAGCAAGGAGCAAACAAAAGCTTCTTTTTTATTCTATTTTCTGCTCTCATTTGTTAATCTCCCGAGTACCGACTTGGTAGATGGCGACGCGGGGGATCAGAGACTTTATGAAAGCGTGCTGATTGAGGAGAATATATCAAAGTGAGCTGGTGAAGGAAAAAGGACAGTGGAATGAAGTTTTCAAAGTTTTTCTTTCTGTTTTTTCCTTCGCGGGCTTTGGGTCTACGCTTGATTTAGACTCTCTTCTGGTTTAGATAACTGCTCCGCTTTCTTTCTTCTCCTGCATCCTCATCTGCGCTGCTTCTTTTCTTCCTTTCCTCCACTTTATTTATTGGTTCGGATGAATTTAATCAGAAAATTAGCATTTTGATGCTGTTTCCACCTCTTGTTTTGCTATTTTGCTGATTTCCTTTGAAAGCTCCATTTTTTTCCCTTCAGGCGAATTTGATCGCTTACCTCGAGGGATCCTATGTTTGTATTTGTATATGTTTTCTTTGCTATGTTTAATTTCTTGGTTACTTAGTTCTCCAGCCTTATTGATTTTCTTTGATTTTTAGCCCCTAACAATAGTTTGTAACTAGATCCTAGACATCGGCCATGTCGATCTAGATATAATCCCTTAAAAACGCCATCTTTATTTTCCGTAGTATGGGTTGTTTCTTGTACTTCAGAGGGAGAAGCAGGAACAAATGGAAGTACGCCCCTGAGACAACTAGGGCATCTTCTTGCTCTTCAAAGAAAGAAACTTTCAAGCCTGACGATTCACTGATCACAGCTCCAACAAGCAAATCTTTGAGCTCTACGGCATCGCCACGGAGCCTTCCTTCTTTGTACGAGGAGAGGGGGCAGAACTTGAGAGTTTTTGAGCTCAAGGAGCTTAGGGCTGCTACTAATGATTTCAGTAGGTTGTTGAAGATTGGGGAAGGAGGATTTGGTGGCGTTTACAAAGGCTTTATCAAGCCTCCAAATGGTATTGGAGAAAGGATTACAGTGGCTGTTAAGATCCTCAACCAGAATGGTTTGCAGGTTTTTTTTTTTTCGCACTCTTCTTCTAGTTTCTTTTGCATTGCATTTACTAGAAAAGAATAAAAATGTTGAATTCAATTTGGTTGATGGAGATGGTGAAGATTAGGGCTCATTTGGTAGCATAAAGTTTCAAAATATTCTTTGAAAATATATCATTTTTACAGAATTTAGTTAGAAAAGCACATTAGATTCAAACCCCACAAACTTCCTCAAAATTTCCATACGAGTGATTATTTCATTTTCAAAATCAAAATGTGTGAAAATGGAATCACTGTTTTCTAAAACATGTTTCTTAAGTTCTAGCAACCAAACGAGCCTATCTAAGGATTTGGGAGCTTTTTTCAATATTATTGGGTTGTCTGCTTTTCAATTCAAAATAGAGAAATGAGATACAATAGGAAGACATTATTATTCTTTTAATTTTAATCAAAAAATGCCGGAAGAAAAATTCAATCATTAGTCATGAGGAACAATGACAGAAGTAAACAGTGCTGTCAATCAAGTCTTTATTTAATTTGTTAGATTGCACCAAGTATGGCTGATCAACCCATTGTGGGGTTTATCTTTATATATTATTATATATGCGTGTTTATGTTTAGGAAATATTTTAGTATTGGTTGATGTCATACACACGACCCAATTCCTTTGTATTTACATATCTAACAACAAAACTCTACTTTTTTCATTTATACTACCCAAATATTTCATATCACATAAATAAATACCCCTATTTTAACTTTTAAAAAGTGAAATAGACCTTTTGATGCATAGGTAAGGAGGCATACATGTTAACAATGAAGTTTTGGTGTTAGATCTATAAATACATAGGAATTGACTGGTATTTATGTAAATTTTTCTTTTTTTATTTTTATATAAATGATTCTTTAATGCTTATTAGACTTAAGTTTTTAACCATTTTGATCTGCTTGATTTGGTATTTATGAAGTGAGTGGCTATTAGTAGCCTTATCTACTTCTTTAAAATTTCTAATTTTCTCTTGTTTTTTTTCCTTCAGGGGCATAAGCAATGGCTGGCAGAAGTGCAGTTTCTTGGAGTTGTTGATCACCCAAATCTTGTAAAACTCATTGGATACTGTGCTGTTGATGGTGAAAGAGGGCTGCAAAGACTGCTGGTCTATGAATTTATGCCCAACAATAGCTTAGATTATCATTTATTCAGCAGAGCTCTGCCTCACATTCCCTGGAATATAAGGCTCCAAATAGCTTTAGGTGCTGCAGAAGGGCTGTTATATCTGCATGAAGGATTGGAAGTTCAGGTTACCACTCTCTACTTTCCCTGAGAATATGTACTGCCGCCCATGGTTTCTGATATAAAAATTTCTTTTCAATGAATGTTTTACTACTTTTGTTTTACTTGCTAGTTCGATTTTCAGATGTATCTTGAATCTTTGTTACGGCTTGTGAGTTAATCTTTGCTTTTCTGAAATTTTCATGCACAACAATGGGCATAGTTTTTATTAAGAGAATATATTAATGCTTTATGAGGTAAGTTGCCAAGTAAAAATTGGAAGTAATCATATGATCAACCATGGTGTTAATAAAATTAATTATTGAGGTCTAGAAATAGTATTTATTGTGTGGAAAACCCAGAGTTCATTACTTCTTTGGTAGATTTAGTGATGTATTTTCATTACTCCTTTCAAGGTACCTGATTATTTCTATTTTTGCAAATACTAAACAAAGTAAATCATGCTTTCATAGATCTTTCAGCGTAATATTATAGTATTTTCACTGATCAGTTTCAGGAGGGCTGGCAACGTCAGATTATTTTGCTGCGTGTTATCATTCTTCTGAACCTGGAGATTTATATTTGTATCTCAATTTCTGGCACTTTTCATGATTAGGTTTACAACTAGAGCAACATAATTAATATGAAAATATCACGAGAAGGAATTATGATGTGCTATTTTGTTATAAAATAATAATAATAATAATAACAAATCAAACAACACGCAAAGTAGATACACCAATGTTTACAAGGTTAGGCATTAACCAAGCTTTGCATACATGGGAGAGGACAGATAATCCGATCTAATCTTAATAGAGAAAGGTATTAAATATGGTGTACACAATGAAAGAAAACTTACTAGATCTTCCTAAATCAAAAGCACCTAAACTCAAAAGCAGAAAATGCTTCAAAGAAGTTCACAAACAAAATTATTATTTCTTATAAAGACATTAAAAACTATGATAAAGCTTATTAAAACACTCATTGGAAGATACGCTACGGGGTGTAGTGGCCGGTGGCAGTGGGTAACGATTGGTGGTGGGCTACTACGATGGTGATGGCGGCAAATGATGATGGTGGTGCTAGCGGGCGATGACAGCTTGCAGTATAATCCGAACTTAACCAAATCAACTGAGTCTGGAATACACTACAAATGACTTATGGGGTGGGGTTGGAATACAACAAAATCATACTCTGTTTTTTTTCTTTTTTTCAAGTCAAACATCAATATTTTCAGAATCAATATTTTCAGAACTCTTGCATTTGAAATTCTTTACATCCCTTCTACTTTAAATTAAGCATCCTTCGAGTTTGATTTTTAGGAAGAGTATTTTGAGGAAAGTTGATCTGTTGTTTACAATTTTCAGGAAGATGGTGTGAAATTATTAGAAAAAGTTGTGGGTGATTTGATCCTAGTTTGGAAAACTTTAATTTAAATAATGATACTCTAAATAATAGCATAATAAGTGTAGAATTGAATTTGTTAAAACCTAATAATCAAAACTTAGATCTAATTGGACATTATCACCTGAAAAGCTAGGAAACATTTGAAATCGAGCCTGAGTTGCTCCTACGTGATGCATCATACTAATCATTATCTGAGAAAAGTCCTTATACAGTGCCTAAATCATCCAGGAGATAGTTACTACGTCTCACTAGATATATTCTAAAGCTTGCTTTTGAATCTGAATTGTCTAGTAAGGTAAGATAGTACATAAGCCATAATATGTGTACACATCATTTGTTACAAACAAATTAGTCATTTGATATTAATTATTTATTGTATCTATATCTAACCGTATGTAGAAAGCTTTAATGATCCAAGTTAGAAAGCTACAATGAATGAAGGAAATATCCTCCTAATGGAAAAAAACAAACTTATAAACTCATTGACCGCCTCATAGGAATAAAGTTGTGGACTCGGATGAATCATTAGTGTGAAATATAAAGTTGATGGTATGCTTGAATGCGTTAAGGTAAAATTATGGCAAAAGGATGCGCCCAAACTTATAGCATTGACCCTAAAATAGTTCTATTAGTAGCCAAGATCAATATTGCCCTGCTCTTGTTATCTTTAGTTCCAAGTCTTTATTGACCATTACAATAGTTTGATGAGAAAAATGCATTCCTTCGTGGCGAGCTATCCGAAAAAATTTACATGAATCTCTCACTAGGATGCATGGCAATAGAAAAACAAAAACAAAATGTGTAGGTTGAAGTAATCATTATATAGATTAAAATAATCCTCTAGAACTTTCGAACCACTCACCAAATTCATGACAATCATTGACTACAAACAAAATAAAGTAGATCATAAATTCTCTTTAGAAATCAAACATGGAAAAATCATTGCATCCATTTTATGTGGATGATATAATTGTTACAAGCAAGGATCTAAAATAGATGAAAGCTCTACAGAATTCCTTATCCATGAAATTTGAAATGAAAGATGTTGGCCCCGCCCCCTTACTTCTTGAGAAGAAACATATCTATTGAGTAAATGAATCTTTATATCACAATGAAATTATGTTTTAGGTTTAATACATGAAATTGGTATGTCAACCTGCCAACCAGTTGACCCTCCAATAGAAGAGTGACTGAAGTCATGTATTAAAATAAGCTAGGTATCCAAAGATTTTTTGGAAGATTAATGTACTTAGTTCACGCAAAATAAAATCATTTCTTTGGATTGGGTGTAATTAGTTAGTTCATGCATGGTGATTTTAGGAAACATTTGTGCGTTGTGAGGTATTTAAAATTTGCCTCGGGGAAGAAAATTTTATTCTCTAAAAACACAAACAAGCAAGATATCAAGGTATATGCATATGTTGATTGGCAGGGGGTAGTAAATGATTTGCATTTAACTTCAATATATGTTACCTTCATGGGTGGGTGCTTAATTACATGAAGAAGTAAGAAATATAACGTTTTCGAAAGATCTAACATAGAAGTTAAGTACAGAGGAATGACCTTAAGGACTTGCAAAATATAGTTTTTGAAATTTCTCTTACAGGACCAGGTTATCATTTAAAGCAATCAATTCAGCTACACCGGGACAATATAGAAGCATGTATATAGCCCATAATCCAATTCTAAATGACCGCACAAAACACATTGAGGTAGATAAATTTTCATTAAGAAAATAGATGAAAATGTTATAGGCCAATCAAAGATTTGGTCAGTATATCAGCTAGTAGATATTCTTAACAAAGTCATATCCAATTAGGCGTTTTCAAAATTTTTAATTAAGTTGGGCATGCGTAGCAACTATGCACCAACATAAGAGTGTTAAGATTATCAATCGCAGAATTTTTGTCCATCTCAACAATCTTGATGCTCCGGTTATATGAACCACATGATGATAGTTTACCTTAACAATCCATCCACACACATGCTATCTTTTAGTTATTATTAATTATATAGTAATTTTTCCTTAATTTTAATATTAATAATTGGTTATTTACCACCTATAAATATTTAGCACATGTGATTCGTCCGATTTTATTTTGCAGGCAGCTACATAGTTTTTGTGAACCCTCAAATACAAGGTTATTTCTCTTCATGATATTGTATAACAAGATAAAGCCGACCATAGCCCTCAACTATTGTTTGCCGATGTTTTAATCCTAATTCGTTGTCTCCATAGATAATTTAGATAGTAAAATCTTCTCGTACATAATGCTTTAAGAACCCTAACCAACAGGGGCATCCAAGTATCTCAAAAACCTAGCCAAAACTTTGCTTGCAAATCCTAGCTATGTGCACTAATTATATACCCATTTATCTTAAGATAATCATCTTGAGAGAGAATAATCTTCTATGCATATCTCTCCATGCGCATCTCAAGCTTGGACTTAATAAATAATTGTAAGGCATTAATCCCAAGCCATCTATATAGGTGCTAATTCCAAGAAATCAAGGAGGACATGTGGATTGATGAGGCTATCTTTACATATTGTAATTTATGCTTTACAAGACAGAATTGCAATTGTTTGATCTCCATAGGAATGTTCTAATAGCCATTTCTTTTCTATATTGAGTCAAATATAACATTTGTATTGGAGTAGTTGTTAAGTGATGTGATTTTTTTGACCAAAAATTAAGGATGCTAGATGTGTAGTTAATTCAAGTTTCAATGCATGTAAGTCATATGTGTTTAGATCAAACAAGACCAAGGAACTAAGGAAGGCACGTGGATTGATGAGGTTATTTTTACATTTCACAAATTATGCTTTACAAGATAAACTTGCAATTATTCTATCTCCATAACAATGTTCTATAGGCTATTTCTTTTCTATATCGAGTCAAATATGACATTTGTATTGGAATAATTGTTAAATGATATCATTCTTTCGACCAAAAGAGACTAGATGAGTATTTAATTAAAGTTTCAAGGCACATAAATCTTATGTCCTACGTCAAACAAGACCAAGAAGCCAAGGATGGCATGTGGATTGTTGAGTTTATTTTTACTTTTTGCTATTTATGCATTACAAGATAGAATTGATATTGTTCGGTCTCCAAAGGAATGTTTTATAGTCTCTTTCTTTTCTATATTGAGTCAAATGTGACATTTGTATTGGAGTATTTGTTAAGTGATGTCATTCTTTCTCAACCAAAAACTAAGGAGACTAGATGAGTAGTTAATTAAAATTTTGAGGCACATAAATCTTATGCCCTACATCAAACAAGGAAAAAAAAAACTAAAATATAAATATCAAATGTTTTGCTCTCATCTATAGGCTTATGCTATCAAGTTGAAAATGAGTTTAACTATTAATATATCTTTGCTCTACTTTGATTCCTTTCTTGCACTCCCAAACCATAGGTTGTAGAAATTTCTTAGGATGCATGGCAAATAACCTTGCAAGGATTGCGCATAATGCCTTTGATGGCTGTCTGGTAATAGATCTAAGTGAGATTAAACATAAATTTTGCCAGAGCAAAAATAACACTTTTAAATCCTGGAATCCGTAAATCTGATTTCTTCTTAGTTTTCTTCTCAGATTTGACTTATATCCCGGACTTACTTAGTCCTGCTGCTGGCAGGATTTAATAAATTCAAATTTACAATATTTACTGAAGCAGCTTAAGCAATTAACAAATAGCCCCTTACTGAACTGCCATTACATCAACTTTCTGCTCTACTGACTTGCTTCTACTGTTCTCCATGGTTTGGTAGGTGATATATCGTGATTTCAAGGCGTCCAACGTGCTATTAGACGAGGAATTCAAACCCAAATTATCAGACTTTGGTTTAGCAAGGGAAGGTCCTACAGGAGAAGAAACTCATGTATCGACGGCGGTACGTCCTATTTCTTATCAGCTTAACAATGTTTCAGTTTTTACCTGAAGTCTGAAGAAAGAGGATATTCTCCGTAGGTGATGGGTACCCACGGCTATGCAGCTCCCGATTATATCGAGACCGGCCATCTAACTTCAAAAAGCGATGTTTGGAGCTTTGGCGTCGTCCTCTATGAACTCATCACCGGAAGGCGGTCGATGGAGCGAAACCGTCCTAAAAACGAGCAGAAGTTGCTGAACTGGGTGAAGCAATTTCCAGCCGAGAGCAAGCAGTTTAGAACGATAATGGATCCAAGAATGAATAATCAGTACTCCATGAGTGGAGCGAGGGCGGTCGCGAAGCTCGCAGATAGGTGCCTCTCTAAACATGCGAGGGATCGGCCGAAGATGAGCGAGGTGGTGGAGACTCTGAAACAGGCATTGAAGCTCAAAGAGGAGGATGGAAAGGAGGAGCCTTTTGAAGAGGAAGCGAATGCCGCTGCCGTCGCCGCTCATTCGGAGAGTGAGAAGGAGAATCAGAGGGGGGATTTGTTGTCGGCGAGGAGAAGAATGCTTCATCTGGCGAAACTGGCGCAGAGCACTAATGTGGTGGGAAGGAAGAAGCTTGGACAAATTGCGGGAGGTAATCCATCATAGCCATGCGTTAACTAACTGGAATTTGGAAAGCTGCTTTTTTTTTTTTTTTTTTTTTTTAAAAACAATTTTCTCATATTTAAATGTTTGATAGAGAGCTCATGGGTCATCGCAGTCAATGATCATAATGGATGAAAATTAGGTGCAGGTGAACCCAAGGCTTGTAATTTTTCTTTTCCTTTTTTTCGTAGGTTATTGTAAACTCCTTGGCGACTGTACTATTTATTTCAGAGGTCTATAAATCCTTGATTTATATATTGAATGAGGAATGGGATCCTTGAAATTTTATATAAAGCTTATTGTAAGATTTGATGTGGAAAAACAATTATCCCTCATCAATTTCATAGAAAAAAATTGCAAGATGAATAGAAAGATGACTCACACATTAGAAAAGTAATAAAATCAAAATTGTCATATTAAAAAAAGGAAATCAAAATTATGACATATCAATAATTTTAAATCCTAAAAATAGAAAGTACTAATAATAAAAGTAAGAATAAAAGCTTCCAGAACAATCATGCTTCAAGTTATGTGAATGTATAAACTGACTTACCAAAGTTATGGCAAAGTTGATATATTGTCGTGTTTGTGAGAAGTATATCAAGTTTCCCACCAACTTTTGATATCGAGATGTATTCGCTAAACATCTTACTTCTCATTTTTCAGTTTCTGGTTGGGATCAATTGGAGTGTCTACTGGCCTACTACCACTCATCCCTACTTCCTTTAGAAGATCAAGAACATTTTTGTTGGGAAAAAAATAATTCTTATCTCCGATCTAGTAACCTTTAAGCCAAGGAAATGTCTCAAAGATCCTATGCCCTTTGTTTCAAAAACTAATGAGAGGGAAGTCTTCAACTGCTTCATTTCATATATGTCTTCTTTGGTGAGAAATATAACTTCCACATACACAATCAATATTGCAATCTTCTCATCATTTGAATGTCTGAAGAACATTGTATGATCTCTATGTCATTTAGTATACTTCTAACATTTAACAAATAGTGCAAATTTCTCAAACCACGCTCTAGGTGATTGTTTTAAATGTATAAGAATTTTTTTAATTTACACACCTTCGTGTCAAACTTTTTACTAAATTTTGGAGGTGCATCCATATATACTTCTTTCTTTATGTCCTCATTAAGAAATGCATATTTTATATCCAACTATTGTAAGGGTCGGTCGAGATTAGCTGCAAGTAAAAAAACTCTTATAGAGTCTTGAGTTTGCTACTTGAGCAAATGTTTCTAAGTAATTAATGTTATAGTTCTGTGTGATTCAATGATAACCAATCGATTCTTGTTCCGTTCTAGAGAACCATTAAAATTATAATTTCTGGAAACACTCATTTGTATTCAACATTTTTTTCCCTCTAGGTAGATCAATCAATTCTCATGTGCCATTTTTTTCTGAGTTTTCATCTCCTCGAAGGTAGCCTCCTTTCCCCTAACTTTTAGAGTATCTCGTATAGTATTAGAAATCTTTATACAAGACAAATGTGTAGTAAATGCCCAAAAAATGGGTGAGATATTTTCATATAACACATAACGAGACAATGGATGATGGGTGTAAGATCTAACACCCTTACAAGTAGCAATGGGATGAATGTAATCATTAGAGTTCAAATTTGGGCTAGACTTTGGTTTAGGACTAAAAGACTTAGAACTCGAAGATTAAGTGGACTGATCATGGTATTAAGGCTTAGTGAGTGCATTACATGATTGATAAATTATTGGCAATGCAGAGAATTCAAGGCTTTTTCTTTTGAGTAGTCATTTGTCCTTAGTAGAAAATGTCAAATTGTACCAATGTCGTAGTTCTTTTTAATGTTTTCTCTTTGTTGGTTGCTATAGGATTATTAATATCATGAGATGACATTATGAGAAGATCTAAACCATCTTCAATATGTAAAAAACTTGACTCACTTTCTTCTGACATAATATACCTTGAATATTTAGGTTGAACAATCAAGGTTTGGGAGATATTATTTTGTGATTATTTGATTTGAAGAAAATCTTGAAAAATAGTAACTGAATCTTTATTTTGTCCTCCTTGAAGATGAGATGAAAATATGTTCTAATTCAAAAAATGTGATATCGATTGAAACAAATATTTTTTCGGAAATAAGATCAAAATATTTGTACTCTTTTTGGGTGAGAGCATGACTAACAAACACATATTTTATGACTTGGGGTTTAAGTTTTCTTTGATTATGACTATGAATGTGAAAAAATACAATAAACTCAAATATCTTTAAAGGTAAATCAGAAGAATGACAATCTATTAGATAAATTTTCTAAAAAACATCAAAATGTGTTTTAAAGTTCAGTACTCTTTTGAGTGTTCTATTAATGAGGAATATACCTGTAAGAACGACTTCATCTCAAAGATATTTTGGTACCTAATTTGTAAATATCAATGTCCAAGCTACTTTTAATGAGTGTTTGTTTTTTTTAACCACACCATTTTTTTTGTGGGATGTCGACTAGAGTTTTGATGAATTATTCCTTCCCAATCGATCGACCCATCGCTTCGGCCCAACCGCTTGTCACGACCCAGTTGATCGATCACTCTGGTTTAGTTGACCATTTTTGGCCAACTTCATTATATGGGTGCATGATTGAATACATTTCTCCATCATGCTGCATGTTTCTTTGCATGGGTATGAAAATTCTTTTGATTTGATGTCTATGGCACTTCATTACATGTAAAAGTATTTATGTCTATGGCACTTCATTGCATGTAAAATTATTTTTGTCTTGTATGTTTTGCATTTGGCTTATTTGGGTGACTCTTTGAGCACCCTCACCCGCGGTGTTTCTTTGAGCATCTGCATTTGCAAGTATCTCTCCCCAGTGTCACCGTATGCACATGGATAAATGTTTTGCACCCTTCCCGAGGAGTTTGCTCACTTATAAAACACTTACCTTGTTCCCTATGACACCACTTGGGATTGTTGTAGATATTTCACATTGTGCTTAGAACGAGTTATGCTTCTTAGCCATTGAACTCGTGCACAACACAATGTGTGTCCACCTGGGTACGTGAATCTCACTTGCACGAATCACATTGCCTGGTATATTCGGGACTCTGGATTCTACATGCTTGTCTTTTTGCCTTTGGCGTTTGTTGCACTAATGGCATGTTTGCATGTGCTCATTTGGGTGCCCCTTAGGTATGAAGTAATTCCCTTATCAGTATCCCATACTTGATGCAAACTTACTTATAGCTAGTGTCTGTTTGTCGCATAGCACCCGAGGTTGGTTCCCGAGCGGTAATTCCTCTTTATATGTGGTTTGTTCTTGGTACACCTTTTTGTGTGTGTCATGTTGTATGTGACATTCTTGTATTCATTTGCATGCAGGTTGGTCCCCGAGCGGCGTAATTCCTCTTTATATGTGGTTTGTTCCTGGTACACCTTTTTGTGTGTGCCATGTTGTATGTGACATTCTTGTATTCATTTGCATGGTGTGTGTGCTTCGTCCTTTTGTTCCCGTTGTGATTGTTTTGTGCCTCAGTCAAACAATCACAATGTGGGTCTTTTGTATGTTGTATATGCATGACTAATTTGCCTTGATGACATGTCCTACTTGTTAGGAGAGCGATCCATTTGTTGGTCGTGATATTCAAACAATCATTGCTCGCGAAGATATTTTGGCGAGCAATGCGAGTTTTTGTATTACAAGCAACAAACTGTACAACTGTGCCAAGAGTCCAAATTCTCTAAAGTACTTCACTTGAGTGCTACAGACCCACATTTAATGGTTCTTTATTTTAAAGCATAAAAACAGATATTTTCTATTATGTCCTATTCACTTTTGCTTTAAAATTTATATATATTAGGTCATATGTGAGGTCATTCTTTTAAAATATCACCCCTCTAGTGACGGATTTTAGATCCCTTGGATCTTTAGGATGGAGTCCTTGTGGCGACCCATTCAAAATCATATGGTAGCCCGTGACTTAACTATTGCACCGTGCACACACTTAGATGTTAGTTAGGACACTACGATACATAGTGTGCTGGCCAAGGTGCTAGGTAAGGACTAGGATGCTAGGTAGTTTTTCTCGATACTCTGACTTGGTAGTTTTTCCCGATACCCTGACTAGGTAGTTTTTCTCGATTCTCTGTCGGTTTGGTTGCCTTAGACAAACATCACTTTTGTGTTTTTGGTGTATTTGCATGTTTACTGAGTTTGAGACTTGCGCACTAGTATATTAGGGCCGGTCTTTATGCAGGGAGTCATGTCCAACAGGGATGAGTTGTAATGATTCATGTTAACGCCTTTTCTACAGGTGCTATAAGCTCTCCTTCCACCTGGCATGGTTCACTATGTTGCATGTAGATAGTTTTTATGCTATGTCGATTTTCGTGTAGGCTGAGTCTTTTTTTGATTTTTTATATGTACTATTTAGAGTCATTAGGAGAGTCTTGTAATAGAAATAAGATACGGGCACGGGTTCACGTGGCGGGGATCAGGGAACACTCGTGTCTCGTATCTTAATTTTGTGTTTTGATATTGATGTATAGAACAAGACCCAAGTATGTACATATGTGGTGCCTGACCATCTTTTTTTATTTCTGGGATATGTTGTCGATTCAGCGACACCGACCTTTTTATTATGTTGTTTGGTATTTTCCTTACCTTATTTATTTCATGCTTGGGTGCTTGAATTTGCCTTTTTTTTACTTGTGGTTTGTCGGTGAATCCAACGTGATAATTTAGGCTCTTTAAGGACCCTAATATTATAAATTTTTTTTATTAAAATGATAATAAAATATTAAAGATTTAATTAAAATTTATGGTTAAAAAATTCAACTATTTAAAACCTGTACTTTGCTTTTCTGCACGACCATCGAGCTGGTTTTGAAATGGTTTGCATAACAAGATTATATCCCAAGTCATTTCTAATAGGTTCTCCACGCTTAGGATTAGATAATTGCATCATATTGCATGTCCCAAGGGGAAGTCCCTATGCTTTTTAACCTAATTGACCGAGCATAATTTTTATACTTAGATGGTTATCTAGCATCATCAGGATGTCAGAGGCTTCCCCGACTCAGACGGGGAGTAAGTCATTGTTGAGAGTGTTTTCAGCTTTGTAGCTAGACCTCTCTTTTCTCTTTCTTTTGGTGACACTTTAGGGCTACCGAGGTCTCCTTGGACAACGCAATTCACGAATTGCCGACAATAGATATCTGGTTGCGTTTGGTCAACCACCTTCAG